TCTCAGAATTCTGACTATTTTTCTCTCAGATTCTGACTTTAATCTCAGAATCCTGACTTTTTTCTCAAAATTCTGACTTCTTTTCCTCAGAAATATTATTTTTTTCTCAGAATTCTGACTTTAATCTCAGAATCCTGACTTTTTTCTCAGAATTCTGTCTTTTTCTCATAATCCTGACTTTTTTCTCAGAATTCTGACTTTTTTTCTCAGAAATATTACTTTTTTTCTCTCAGATTCTGATTCTAAACTCAGAATTCTGACTTAAATCTCAGAAGTCTAACTTTAATCCCAGAGGTCTGACTTTTTTCCTCAGAATTCTGACTTAAATCTCAGAAGTCTAACTTTAATCCCAGAGGTCTGACTTTTTTCCTCAGAATTCTGACTTTAATCTCAGAAGTCTAACTTTAATCCCAGAGGTCTGACTTTTTTCTCAGAATTCTGACTTTTTTTTTTCAGAAATATTACTTTTTCTCAGAATTCTGACTTTATTTTTCTCTCAGATTCTGACTTTAATCTCAGAATTCTGACTTTTTTTTTCAGAAATATTACTTTTTCTCAGAATTCTGACTATTTTTCTCTCAGATTCTGACTTTAATCTCAGAATCCTGACTTTTTTCTCAAAATTCTGACTTCTTTTCCTCAGAAATATTATTTTTTTCTCAGAATTCTGACTTTAATCTCAGAATCCTGACTTTTTTCTCAGAATTCTGACTTTTTCTCAGAATCCTGACTTTTTTCTCAGAATTCTGACTTTTTTTCTCAGAAATATTACTTTTTTTCTCTCAGATTCTGATTCTAATCTCAGAATTCTGACTTTTTTCCTCAGAATTCTGACTTAAATCTCAGAAGTCTAACTTTAATCCCAGAGGTCTGACTTTTTTCCTCAGAATTCTGACTTTAATCTCAGAAGTCTAACTTTAATCCCAGAGGTCTGACTTTTTTCTCAGAATTCTGACTTTTTTTTTTCAGAAATATTACTTTTTCTCAGAATTCTGACTATTTTTCTCTCAGATTCTAACTTTAATCCCAGAGGTCTGACTTTTTTCTCAGAATTCTGACTTTTTTTCTCAGAAATATTACTTTTTCTCAGAATTCTGACTATTTTTCTCTCAGATTCTGACTTTAATCTCAGAATCCTGACTTTTTTCTCAAAATTCTGACTTCTTTTCCTCAGAAATATTATTTTTTTCTCAGAATTCTGACTTTAATCTCAGAATCCTGACTTTTTTCTCAGAATTCTGTCTTTTTCTCATAATCCTGACTTTTTTCTCAGAATTCTGACTTTTTTTCTCAGAAATATTACTTTTTTTCTCTCAGATTCTGATTCTAATCTCAGAATTCTGACTTTTTTCCTCAGAATTCTGACTTAAATCTCAGAAGTCTAACTTTAATCCCAGAGGTCTGACTTTTTTCCTCAGAATTCTGACTTTAATCTCAGAAGTCTAACTTTAATCCCAGAGGTCTGACTTTTTTCCTCAGAATTCTGACTTAAATCTCAGAAGTCTAACTTTAATCCCAGAGGTCTGACTTTTTTCCTCAGAATTCTGACTTTAATCTCAGAAGTCTAACTTTAATCCCAGAGGTCTGACTTTTTTCTCAGAATTCTGACTTTTTTTTTCAGAAATATTACTTTTTCTCAGAATTCTGACTTTATTTTTCTCTCAGATTCTGACTTTAATCTCAGAATTCTGACTTTTTTTTTCAGAAATATTACTTTTTCTCAGAATTCTGACTATTTTTCTCTCAGATTCTGACTTTAATCTCAGAATCCTGACTTTTTTCTCAAAATTCTGACTTCTTTTCCTCAGAAATATTATTTTTTTCTCAGAATTCTGACTTTAATCTCAGAATCCTGACTTTTTTCTCAGAATTCTGACTTTTTCTCAGAATCCTGACTTTTTTCTCAGAATTCTGACTTTTTTTCTCAGAAGTCTAACTTTAATCCCAGAGGTCTGACTTTTTTCCTCAGAATTCTGACTTAAATCTCAGAAGTCTAACTTTAATCCCAGAGGTCTGACTTTTTTCCTCAGAATTCTGACTTTAATCTCAGAAGTCTAACTTTAATCCCAGAGGTCTGACTTTTTTCTCAGAATTCTGACTTTTTTTTCAGAAATATTACTTTTTCTCAGAATTCTGACTTTATTTTTCTCTCAGATTCTGACTTTAATCTCAGAATTCTGACTTTTTTTTTCAGAAATATTACTTTTTCTCAGAATTCTGACTATTTTTCTCTCAGATTCTGACTTTAATCTCAGAATCCTGACTTTTTTCTCAAAATTCTGACTTCTTTTCCTCAGAAATATTATTTTTTTCTCAGAATTCTGACTTTAATCTCAGAATCCTGACTTTTTTCTCAGAATTCTGACTTTTTCTCAGAATCCTGACTTTTTTCTCAGAATTCTGACTTTTTTTCTCAGAAATATTACTTTTTTTCTCTCAGATTCTGATTCTAATCTCAGAATTCTGACTTTTTTCCTCAGAATTCTGACTTAAATCTCAGAAGTCTAACTTTAATCCCAGAGGTCTGACTTTTTTCCTCAGAATTCTGACTTTAATCTCAGAAGTCTAACTTTAATCCCAGAGGTCTGACTTTTTTCTCAGAATTCTGACTTTTTTTTTTCAGAAATATTACTTTTTCTCAGAATTCTGACTATTTTTCTCTCAGATTCTAACTTTAATCCCAGAGGTCTGACTTTTTTCTCAGAATTCTGACTTTTTTTCTCAGAAATATTACTTTTTCTCAGAATTCTGACTATTTTTCTCTCAGATTCTGACTTTAATCTCAGAATCCTGACTTTTTTCTCAAAATTCTGACTTCTTTTCCTCAGAAATATTATTTTTTTCTCAGAATTCTGACTTTAATCTCAGAATCCTGACTTTTTTCTCAGAATTCTGTCTTTTTCTCATAATCCTGACTTTTTTCTCAGAATTCTGACTTTTTTTCTCAGAAATATTACTTTTTTTCTCTCAGATTCTGATTCTAATCTCAGAATTCTGACTTTTTTCCTCAGAATTCTGACTTAAATCTCAGAAGTCTAACTTTAATCCCAGAGGTCTGACTTTTTTCCTCAGAATTCTGACTTTATCTCAGAAGTCTAACTTTAATCCCAGAGGTCTGACTTTTTTCCTCAGAATTCTGACTTAAATCTCAGAAGTCTAACTTTAATCCCAGAGGTCTGACTTTTTTCCTCAGAATTCTGACTTTAATCTCAGAAGTCTAACTTTAATCCCAGAGGTCTGACTTTTTTCTCAGAATTCTGACTTTTTTTTTCAGAAATATTACTTTTTCTCAGAATTCTGACTTTATTTTTCTCTCAGATTCTGACTTTAATCTCAGAATTCTGACTTTTTTTTTCAGAAATATTACTTTTTCTCAGAATTCTGACTATTTTTCTCTCAGATTCTGACTTTAATCTCAGAATCCTGACTTTTTTCTCAAAATTCTGACTTCTTTTCCTCAGAAATATTATTTTTTTCTCAGAATTCTGACTTTAATCTCAGAATCCTGACTTTTTTCTCAGAATTCTGACTTTTTCTCAGAATCCTGACTTTTTTCTCAGAATTCTGACTTTTTTTCTCAGAAATATTACTTTTTTTCTCTCAGATTCTGATTCTAATCTCAGAATTCTGACTTTTTTCCTCAGAATTCTGACTTAAATCTCAGAAGTCTAACTTTAATCCCAGAGGTCTGACTTTTTTCCTCAGAATTCTGACTTAAATCTCAGAAGTCTAACTTTAATCCCAGAGGTCTGACTTTTTTCCTCAGAATTCTGACTTTAATCTCAGAAGTCTAACTTTAATCCCAGAGGTCTGACTTTTTTCTCAGAATTCTGACTTTTTTTTTCAGAAATATTACTTTTTCTCAGAATTCTGACTTTATTTTTCTCTCAGATTCTGACTTTAATCTCAGAATTCTGACTTTTTTTTTCAGAAATATTACTTTTTCTCAGAATTCTGACTATTTTTCTCTCAGATTCTGACTTTAATCTCAGAATCCTGACTTTTTTCTCAAAATTCTGACTTCTTTTCCTCAGAAATATTATTTTTTTCTCAGAATTCTGACTTTAATCTCAGAATCCTGACTTTTTTCTCAGAATTCTGACTTTTTCTCAGAATCCTGACTTTTTTCTCAGAATTCTGACTTTTTCTCAGAATCCTGACTTTTTTCTCAGAATTCTGACTTTTTTTCTCAGAAATATTACTTTTTCTCTCTCAGATTCTGATTCTAATCTCAGAATTCTGACTTTTTTCCTCAGAATTCTGACTTAAATCTCAGAAGTCTAACTTTAATCCCAGAGGTCTGACTTTTTTCCTCAGAATTCTGACTTAAATCTCAGAAGTCTAACTTTAATCCCAGAGGTCTGACTTTTTTCCTCAGAATTCTGACTTTAATCTCAGAAGTCTGACTTTAATCCCAGAGGTTCACTGACAAAGATGTGAGGTGTTTAGGAGGGCCAGTAACACATTGGTGAAAAATGACGGAATTAGGTGACTTTTTACATCCCCTGGTGATGCTATTTCATTAATGGAAGGGCAGAAGGTGATTAAAACAAGAGAGCTAGTTTAGTGTCTAAAACAGACATGGCTACAGCTTGATGCTAACATGTTTGTCAGCTGTCAGAATTCTGAGAAAAAAGTCAGAATTCTGACTTTTTTCTCAGAATTCTGACTTTTTTCTCTTATCATACTGAAATAAAATTAAAAAATCAGTTAAGTTTTTACATTTTTTCAGTGGCCCTAATCCTCTTCCCCAACAATGAATCCCTAATGTTAGCTGCTTAGTTACTGTTTTACAGATTTCAACATTGCTATCATTATTATTATTTTTAAATGCTACTCAAAATAAGATATTTAATCATGGGTTAAAGCTGATGTCGTATGGATAAAAACGTCAACCTTACCTTAAAAATAACACTTTACCTTAAACCTTGGCTGAAAAATAAAACAAATTGTCTAAAAAAGGGAAACAAGTTTTCCAAGCAACAGGCATTCAAATTATATAAAACAACTAATGCATTTTTTATTTGCTCTCAGTTAAATAATGTCAACAAATATATTCAAAGAATAGTCCAAGAAATGAGCAGAAATGGAAAAAAAACAACTATTATACTGTATATTGCCATCGAATATAACAACTCATACAAGTAATTATTGTATCAAACATCCTCAAAGGTCCAGAATTTCATTGGTTCTATGCAGACGATGACAGTACCTCTGTCTGAAGTCAAAACATTACCCACACTGCTTAAATACTGCGGTCTAGTCTAATTCCTTTAAAGCTCAAAAAGAAGAATGTTTGATTCAGCTCAGGTGGGAGCGGCTTCAGAGGCCTGGGTCCAACTTTGGCTGACAGGTGGCGCTAGAGTTTAAAACATCAGTCCATTAGAGGGCCGATCAATCCATTAAAAGAGGAAGAGAACATAAACCAAAACGCCTCAGGAACACATGGACTTACTGCAGTTCCGCTAATGGATAATCTAGAGAACAAAGCACTGTCATGTTCAGATCTATACAGAAGTAATGGAAAGCTGTACAGAGATTCTCGTCACCAACGGACATTAAAAACGAAACTTTGTGAAAAAAACCTTTGACCTCTAAGAGGATAAAACCCTAAAATGAAACATGAGATAGGTATTCAAATCCCCCCTCCCCCCTCTTTTTGTCCCTAGTTACCATCACGCCATGGCGAACAAAACATATGTAACAAATGATGGTGCCATTTTTTTTCTCCATCTTTTACCAATGCTGATCAGATCCTCTTTTTGTATCTAATGGGTGTTCATGCAAATAGAGGAAGCCAAGTTCAGTTTGCTTCTATACTTTTACAGCTGTATGAGGTGATTGTAGATGGTTAGCAGTCTTGGTTCTGTTTGGAACCGCCTCACTCGGTTGGCTATTTTTATTTGAACATTTCCTAGAAGAAAAAAAAAAATACACGGTTTACATTGTGTATAAAAACATTTCAAAGTCAACCAACGCAGTTTCGATGAGTCAAATCCAGTGTGCTAGCTGTAGAGCAGTGCTTCAAGAGGTTGACTTGGTTTAAGGGGGGCGACTTTCCGTCCAAAACACCTACAGTAGACAGCAGGTAGACGGTTTTCCCCGAGCACTGTTCAACATTCAGGAAAAGAATGAGATTCCAGTCCAGGAACCTCCCGAATCCATGTTTCCATGACAACTGGGGTAAAAAAACCTAAAACAAATGGTAATCAGGAAACCCTTTTTTTTTTTTGGTGGTCTGGGATGCAACTTGGCAGATGCCTGGACCAATGGAGACCTACAGTCTGCAAATACTTATTCACCAGAGTTCGAGAACGTTTCATCCATCTCTACTACTTTTGTTCATGCATTCGTCTAAACAAAACAGCCTTTCTCTGCTCTGCAGGACTGTGGGTCAGTCAGCTGTTGCATTCCCTTCCAATGGCCATCGTGTACAATCCCATTTTTCCCCCCAATGGCATGGCACATAACTGCGTTTAAAACCTTTCTCTGTCCAGTACAGTTCAAAAGTTTCCAGAAATGCCTCATCCACTCTATATGAGGTTCTCTGTTCATAGCGTGGTATGAGGTCACTTTAGAGCAGTCCTTAGGCGGTCTTCTTGAAGGAGCCGTTCAACTCTCCAAGGTCTGTACAAAGTCAAACATCCCACCAACGTAAAGGGGTAGCACCTGAACGGTGATTCTACCAGATGTCAGAGCTTAGTTCTCTGCTGGTGAGCGGTACGAACGTGCTGTTGAGGTGGAGGTCTGGCTTCTTCCCAAGCGTACTGCTCTGAGACACCTGGCAAACACAGAGACACACGTATCATTTATTGGTCAAACAACTAAAAACAAACTACAGTAACACAAAAGAAACAACAAGATAGCTAGATATTCAATGCTTTATGCGCAGACATCCGTGACAAAAATCATATCCCTTAAACTTTTTCACATTTTGTCACATTTACAACCAAAACTTTATATATTTAATTGGGGTTTTTGTGACAGAACAACACAGAGTACTGCATGATTGTTATTAAGAGGAAAAATGAGATATGATTTGAAATTTTCTACAAATAAAAACTTGAAAAGTAAGGCACTTTAAGGGTTCCTAGAATTTAGTAGAATGGGAGGCAGATCTTTTAGTTAGCAGGCTCCTCTCCTGTGGAACCAGCTACCAGTTTTAGTCTGTAAGGCAGAAACGCTGTCTACTTTTAAGGCTAGGCTTTTCAATAAAACTTATAGTTAGAGTGGCTCAAGTTATCCTGAGTTATCAGTTATGCTGCTATAGGCTTAGACTGCTGGAGGACATAGGGACTCCTTTTCCTCATTGTGCTTCATTCTATTTCCATTCTCCACTCTGCTGTATTTGCTAATTTCATCTCTTTATGCTTTAAACACTCTCAGCCTTTTCTCATCATAGTAGCTTAATCTGGTCTCTTCCTGTTTGGCCGTGACTCCATCCTGGAGAGAAATATCAGCTGTGTTGCTGCCATCAACATCTTACAGGTGCTGGTCATAAAATTAGAATATCATGAAAAAGTAGATTGATTTCAGTAATTCCATTTAAAAAGTGAAACTTGTATATTATATTCATACATTACATACAAACTCATATATTTCAGATGTTTATTTTGTTTAATTTTGATGATTACAAATGACAACAAATGAAAATCTCAAATTCATCATATCAGAAAATTAGAATATTACTGAAGACCAATAAAAACAAAGGATTTATAGAAATGTTGGCCAACTGAAAAGTATGAACATGAAAAGTATGAGCATGTACAGCACTCAGTATTTAGTTGGGCCTCCTTTGGCCTGTATTACTGCAGCAATGCGGCGTGGCATGGAGTCGATCAGTCTGTGGCACTGCTCAGGTGTTATGATAGCCCAGGTTGCTCTAATAGTGGCTTTTAGCTCTTCTGAATTGTTGGGTCTGGTGTATTGCATCTTCTTCTTCACAATACCCCATAGATTTTCTATGGGGTTAAGGTCAGGAGAGTTTGCTGGCCAATTAAGAACAGGGATACCATGGTCCTTCAACCAGGTACTGGTAGCTTTGGCACTGTGTGCAGGTGCCAAGTCCTGTTGGAAAATGAAATCTGCATCTCCAAAAAGTTGGTCAGCTGCAGGAAGCATGAAGTGCTCTAAAACTTCCTGGTATGTGGCTGCGTTGACCCTGGACCTCAGAAAACACAATGGACCAACACCAGCAGATGACATGGCACCCCAAACCATCACTGACTGTGGAAACTTTACACTGGACTTCAAGCAACGTGGATGAAGTGCCTCTCTTCTTTTCCTCCAGACTCTGGGACCTTGATTTCCAAAGGAAATGCAAAATTTACTTTCATCAGAGAACATGACTTTGGACCACTCACCAGCAGTCCAGTCCTGTTTCTCTTTAGCCCAGGCAAGACGCTTCTGACGCTGTCTGTGGTTCAAGAGTGGCTTGACACAAGGAATGCGACAGCAGAAACCCATGTCTTTCATACGTCTGTGTGTGGTGGTTCTTGAAGCACTCACTCCAGCTGCAGTCCACTCTTTGTGAATCTCCCCCACATTTTTGAATGGGTTTTGTTTCACAATCCTCTCCAGGGTGCGGTTATCTCTCTTGCTTGTACACTTTTTTCGACCACATCTTTTCCTTCCCTTCGCCTCTCTATTAATGTGCTTGGACACTGAGCTCTGTGAACATCCAGCCTCTTTAGCGATGACCTTTTGTGTCTTGCCCTCCTTGTGCAAGGTGTCGATGGTCGTCTTTTGGACAACTGTCAAGTCAGCAGTCTTCCCCATGATTGTGTAGCCTATAGAACTAGACTGAAAGACCATTTAAAGGCTTTTGCAGGTGGTTTGAGTTAATTAGCTGATTAGAGTGTGGCACCAGGGGCCATCAATTTTGAACCTTTTCACAATATTCTAATTTTCTGATATGATGAATTTCAGATTTTCATTTGTTGTCATTTGTAATCATCAAAATTAAACAAAATAAACATCTGAAATATATGAGTTTGTATGTAATGTATGAATATAATATACAAGTTTCACTTTTTAAATGGAATTACTGAAATCAATCTACTTTTTCATGATATTCTAATTTTATGACCAGCACCTGTATGCTGTGTTCACACCGAACGCAGCAGAAGCCGCAGAAGCAGCGAGTTTACATACAAAGTCAATGGTTAACGCGCGTCAAGGCGCAGCAAAAGGTACCGCGGCACGTTTTGAGCAGCAGGCAAAGCGCGTCTGAGCAGCTGAAGCATCGCATCGGGAGCGTTCAAGCATATGACAAGAATAACCCGCTGCTTGAGATGGAAAAATTTAACTTTTGCTGCTCGGCGCGCCGCATCAACCAGTCAGAGAAGCTGATCTGGGAGCTGGCAGGGAGAGAGACACATCGCTGATGATACAGAGCGCTGTGATCACTCCTCTGAAACAGCTTATTAACGCCTAAATTAACTTAAAATGCTGAAACCTGCCGACAAAGTGTGTTCGCTTTTATTTTCCTGGTGCCTGCGGTTTGGATTATGTACATGAAAACCGCCTTCCAGCCGCCGCGGCGAACCACAAGGAGGCGACCGGTCCAGAGGCTGCTGTTGAATGGGATTCCTACTGACAGTGTATGTGGGGTTCTGAAGGGCTCCGACAGAAATCATAATGGAAGGCAGGATGATAATCTGGATGAACTGACTGCAATGATTAAGTTTTCAGGTGGATTTTCTCACTTAAAAACATTAAAACTACTTTATTCCCACTGATCACAGCAAATATATCTGCAAGGCCAAGAAAGGATAGTGAAGCTCCGTCCAACGTGCGTCACACACACTTTGTCACCGCACAGCCAGAGCAGCAAAGCTGCTTCAGCCGCGCGTCAGAACTAACTGGTACAAGCAGCAAAAATGAAGCAGCAGACACGATTTTGCTGCTCCTGCTGCGTCCGGTGTGAACGTAGCGTAATGTAGTATATGATGGAGTTGGGCCTGTTTTTCAGTCTTCAGTCCTGTTGCTCTCCTAGAGTATCACTATGTCTCTATGGGCTCAGCTTTTAGTGTGACTAACTGGATGTGCTCTCTTTCATCCCTTTCACATGAAAACTGGCTCAGAGCTATTCTACCATTTTCTTTTCTATCATAGAACGTATATCAGTGCTTCTCTGTTCTTTTTTGTACGTCTGATTCTCTCTCCTTGAAACCCCAGTTGGCCTCAGTAGAAGGCCACTCACACTGGGCCTGGTTCTGTTGGAGGTTTCTTCATGTTAAAAGGGAATTTCTTTTCCTCCACTGTCGCTACAAGCATGTTTGGTGTGAGGGATTGGTGTCGAGTCAAAGACACAATGCAAGTAAATATCTACTGTCTCTACATGCTACATGCATCCAGGAGGATCGTGTCCTGCAAATTTTTCCATAAATAGAAATTTTTTTATCAATTTGATCTGGTTGAATTGACTCTGTAAAGAGCCTTAAGATGACATTTGTTGTTAATTGGAGTTATAGAAACAAACTGAACTGAATTATATAGCTTTCCTACACAGTGTGACACTATAAATTATAGAGGCTATTGTTTTTTCCCATGTTTTATTACCGTAAGTTTAAACAGTTCTTCTGTCACGATAAAAACTAATCACCTTTATGATGAAAGTAACAAGAGTTTAGAAATAAAATAAGAGCATACAAACAGATGATACTTCACAGAGAAAACTTTAACCGTCGGCATTGACTCTCCTTGACCTAGAACACTGATTATTAGTATTAGTATCTCGGTATGGCTGGAGCCAGTGATGCCTCATCATTTACAAACAACATGTGTATGATGCAATGATGTGATGATTTAGCAGGGTGTAACCCTGTAGATGTATAATAGGCTTATTTTATATGCTATTCAGGGCTGCTCTTCTTCCTGATGAAGAAAGCCCAGTAAGGCTTGCTGTATGTAACCAGAGCCATTTCTCTGGTATAAGATTAAATTCTGCCCTGTGATAGACAGCCGACCTGTCCAGGGTGGACCATGCCTCTCGCCTTTAGACAGCTGGAGATACCACCAGCACCCCTAGCGACCCCAGCTGGGAGAAGCATGACGGAAAATGGATTGACGGAAGGTTAAAATCTGTTTCATTCTGTTAAACCTGGCTATAAAAATATTGAAAAAAAGTTTGTGTTTGATGTGTGACAAAATGTGAAAAAATATGGAGGGCTATGAATACTTGTCCATGTTGCTGTTTATAATCATCCTTTCTCATTTTTGTAAAACAAACACATATTTTAGCCTTTATAAAACAAAACTTTTTTTCTTTTATCTTCTCTTATCCAAACGGACCTCTTGTTCCCAACTGAACTGCTCTCAACCCCTGGGGAGAGAAGAGGGCTTTTGTTTTTATTTCATTTAAACTCTGAGCACAAGAACATAACTTCATTCACAGATAGTCTGTGTTGTAGGTGGATGTTTAGACGTTGTCTAGGGGCAAGAAAAACTATGAAATGCAGGTTCTTACCTGCCCGTTAAGCAGCGTCATAGGGATGTTGCAATACACATGACGCCCCCCAGGGCCCAGGGTGGAGAACTGCACCGTTGAGGGAGGCGGGAGGGGTGGAGACATAGAAGAAGGCTGTGGAGGAAGCTGGAACTCGTAGCTGCGACAGAAGTGCCGCATTTGGGCTGCTGTAGCGGTGTGACCCCCTCCTAATGGCAAGGTCATCTGGTTGTAGTCAGGGATCTCCGTTGCCAAGGCAACCTGCTGGTTAAAAAGGGCGATTGAGACTTTTAACTTCCTCACCAGGATTGAAAAAAAAACAATCAAGTAGGTAATCAAATAACAAAATCAGGAAAATCCAGATTAACAGGAGACATTTAAAAAATCTTAAAACATTTTAAAACAAGAATGGATCCATCAGATGAATAGAGAGCCACTTATTAGAGAACTGACTACAAAAACTGAGCATCTATCTAAATCTCACAACCTTAGATCAGCCAGAAATACTGTTTTTTAATCCTGTTTTGAGAATAATATACCAAGAAAAAGCTGATTTTATTCACTAAGACAATTAAACTGGAGAATATATATCATGATATCAAAAATAATATATGGTGCAAACTTTTGTCCATTATTAATGCAAAAAAACATGCTTTGTAAATGGAAACAAAAAATATGAAACTTTGCTGATTTCTGTAAAAAAAAAAATCAGATTTTATTTTTTAGCTTCCTCTTTTTCAGATTTTAATGATTTTATAACAATTGAGTTCTTTTAAATTGTGTTTTATAGATAACATTCTGTTCACTTCAAGCCCCCCCCCAAAAATGCTGGAGTTTCACCAATAAAAGGCAGCTTATAGAGGCTAACACTGGTGTCTCATAGGCTGTTGTTAGCGATGGATAGGCTGACATTAGCACTGAATAGGCTGGTGTTAGCTTTTTATAGCATGATATAAGCTTTAGTTAGACTGGTGTTAACTTTGGTTAGCCTGGTAAAAACACTGGGTAAGATGGGATTAGCTTTGGATAGGCTGGTGTTAGCATTGGATAGGCTGGCATTAGCATTGGATAGCCTGATATTAGCTTTAGTTAAAGTGGTGTTAACTTTGGTTAGCCTGGTGATAGAGCTGGGTAAGATGGCATTAGCTTTGGATAGGCTGGTGTTAGCCTTGGATTGGCTGGCATTAGCATTGGATAGCGTGATATTAGCTTTAGTAAAACTTGTGTTAACTTTGGTTAGCCTGGTGATAGCACTGGGTAAGATGGGATTAGCTTCGGATAGGCTGGTGTTAGCCTCAGATTGTCTGGCATTAGCATTGGATAGCCTGATATTAGCTTTAGTTAAAGTGGCGTAATTTTGGTTAGCCTGGTGATAGCACTGGGTAAGATGGCATTAGCTTTGGATAGGCTGGTGTTAGCATTGGATAGCCTGATATTAGCTTTAGTTAGACTGGTGTTAACTTTGCTTAGCCTGGCAATAGCACTGGGTAAGACCACATTAGCTTTGATTAGGCTAGTGTTAGCCTTAGATTGGCTGGTGTTAGCATTGGATAGGCTAGTGTTAGCTTTGGATAGGTTGGTGTTAGCATTGGATGGGCTGGCATTAGCATTGGATAGCCTGATATTATCTTTGGATAGGCCAATGTTAGCATTGGATATACTGGTGTTAGCACTGGATATGCCAGTTTTAGCATTGGATAGGCCAATGTTAACATTGGATAGGCTTGTATTAGCACTGGACAGGCTGGTGTTAGTATTGAATAGGCTGGTGTTAGTAATGGATAGGCTGGTGTTAGGATTGGGTAGGCTGGTGTTAGCATTGGATACGCTGTTGTTAGTGTTAAATAGCCTGATATTATCTTTGGATAGGCTGTTGTTAGCATTGGATATACTGGTGTTAGCACTGGATAGGCTGGTGTTAGCACTGGATATGCTATTGTTAGCATTGGATAGGCTGGTGTTAGCACTAGATATGCTATTGTTAGCATTGAATAGGCTGGTGTTAGCACTGGATATGCTATTGTTAGCATTGGATAGGCTGGTGTTAGCACTGAAGAGCATGCCTTGGCTGGCAGAAGCCTTAAGCCATTTCTCAATATGCTTACTTGTGCGTTGTCAGGTGCTCCTGAAACATCATCACCCTCAGCTACAGCACTGTTCCAATTCACAGGAACACAAGACCAAGAACAGACAAGATCCCTGGTTGTTGTTCTTGTTGTTTACCCAGCATGCATCAGAGCAGACTTGAGCGTTCTCCAACCTGACAGCTCATCTAGCATGCACCGTGGCACAACCACTTCCAGAGGAGAGCTCATTATTAATTAGTATTTTAAGTCTCCTTTTCTGGTGCTGTGTTTCTATAAAAGTACATTTAAAGATAATTTCAGATGAGAAAATTATCCTTTTTTTCTTCACTAAATGGCCCATTTACTGATTCATTGCGTGATTTAAAGAACATTTCTATCGTTGAGAGAAGCGTGGCAACCAGTGAAGCTCAGAGGCTAACAGCATCCAGGGTATGTTTCTCTTCCAATAGACTCAGATTTGTTCTGCATGCTCCCATTCTCCCCGGGTCCATACTTTCCTATTTTCTTGTGAAGAACATACTTGGTGTGAACACAAGTAAATACTCGCATTCTTGTCAACTGAAAAACTGCCTTAATTTTCAAGACATTTTATAAGTGACACCAAACTGTAAGAAGGTAGAAGTATTATGAAAATGGTATGCAGAGTTTACCTGGCACAGTTCTATATTCTGCAACAGATAGGGCTTACATCGACTTTTACTGACCTGATGATGGCCATGGCGGTTCTCATTAGGGGGCGCTAGAGAGGCAGAGGTGGTTGTCATGGCAATAGTGGAGACAGTAGTCTGTAGGTCGCCGAATAGGCCCTGTTCACCAGAGTCCATTACCTGTAAACAGAGAAGAAAGGTTTTTTCCCTCGATAAGGAGGAATTCCAGAGTAATTGATGCTGAATTACATCATTATAGATTCTGAACAACAAAAAGACAAGTTAAACAAAATTATGACAAAAACGGTTTATAAATCACCTCCTCCTAAAAAAAAAAAATCCACGTGAGGAATTTAGCTTATTTTCTTTACTGTCTAAATGCTCCTGACAGCAGTGCATTGTTGGGTAATGAGGAGGATGGATGACTGGAATGTTTCACTATTTTCTAGATTTTCCCTCAAATTGAATCGGAGCAACTTGTTTTCATTCCCTGTCAAAGCTTCACAATCATGAATAACTGCAGACTTGAGCAGGTAAATATTTACCTACTAAGATCATCAAATTGCATATACTCCTTTTACATGTCTCAGCTGTGAATACTATAAATACCTGAGCTTTTAACAACATTCAGTGTTGAGATTTCAACATAAACATTCCCTCAGTGCAGAGGGAAGTATTTATTTGCTAATCAGGGCATCCATCACCTGAGGTGGGAACACATGGTAAGCATGTACACTACTGGCTCACTGGGATTCAGATTTTAATATATAACCTATGCTTAGCAGACATCTCAAAGGCTATCTGTCTATAAAAAGTACTGCCCCCGGAAAGAGGCTAACCAAAGCATGGTTCATCCAAAGCTGCTGGAGGAACAGCTCTTTATTACTCAATATAACATTTTCAACTGTAATAGAAACATGTTAGAATAAAAACAGCAATATTAATGATAACAACAATAATTATCATCTACTGTTACCATATTAAAGGTATTTCAGGCTAAATAAATAATGGTATAAGCAAAATAATATATTCATAACACATTTAGACTGAAAAAAAAACTACAGATATTCAATCAGCTCCTTGAGATATTTGTATCTTTACGGTGATAGTTTAACTCCTCCCCGCCAGTAAGTGTTGCGCTTGCATTCACCCTCTCCAGTTCCATTTTATGGTGGCCCACTGGAGTCAGCAAATGGCAAAATCCAAAAGCCACAAAGGAAGTGAAAATGAAAGGAAAGTTGTCCTGAAGCAGAAGCCAGTTAGACCCAGTAAAGCTCTCTGTTATAGACTGTCATGGATGAAAGATGAGGGCCGTTGGCATTCTGTTGTGACGGCAAAATCAAAGCCCTTTGAACCAATTTGACACAATTGGCCAAAACTGGACACCGTGCTGAATACATTTGATAAAGTTTAGAATGGCGGTATCTGCTGGATAGTATCAGAACTGCAGTTGAGCTTGTGTCGTATTATCTGTATTAGTGCATGGTTGAACTTATTTGTTCCCTAATAATAGTATTAATAATGATAATATTAATAAATAAAAACAACAAAACAAATGTCTGACCTGTAAACTTGTAACATGACAAACAGCCCTTCAGATGCATAAAAGCTATGTGACAGTGTGTTCCTGCCACTATGCCTCCCAATTATGATGCGTCCTAGCTTCTCAACCACACATAAACCCGTTTGGCTGACTGGTAAACATCCATGACATGCCCCTGGCAGACTGTGCGGTCAAATCCCACACTGTTGCATTCCTCGTTGCATGTATATATATTGGGTGTACATATATATATATTGGGGAGTGTTGGCCTAGTGGTTAGAGCAGTGCACTTGTGCTCTGAGAAGGTTGCAAGTACCAGGTTGGATCCCCCACAGCCTGCACTCTGGGTTCCTGAGCAAAACACTTAACCCCTAATTGCCCCTGGGCGCTACACAATGGCAGCCCACTGCTCCCCAAGAGGATGGGTTAAAATGCAGAGAAGGAGTTTTCCCATTGTGGGACAATAAAGGGATTTAGTGTCTGTATCTAGATTTGTGTGTGTGCAGAGGGATTTGTCTGTCTGTACGAGCATCTGCAAATGTGTAAAATAACTTGTGTGTAATTGATTTGCAAATGTATGAAAAATCCACAAATCTGTGTTCAGATATACAAATGTGTTTTAAGATTTGCAAATTTGTAAATCAGTCTGTAAACACACAGTCACTTAAGTCTGAAGTATTTTCACTTCAACACCCAGAAATTCAGAAAATCATTGGTTAGAAGTAAAGCAGTTTATCGGTTGGTTCTCTTTACACATTTTTTGCTACACTTCTGCTGTGTGAGATCTGAAAATGCGCAGAGAGGATCCATATGGGTAATATCTGGATTTGCTGCCCTGAGCGCAGGCTTGCAGGCTTATGCCGGCCGTTTATAACAAAATCAGCTTTCCTGACCATCCCTAATTACTTCTAAGATATCAATGAAAAAGTTTTGACTTGGGAAAACAAAATTTTGACTATACCAAATGATACTTTAAGACGAAGTGTGCTCCTGATGTCCAGTCTGCTCCGTAGCTTTGTTTTGGTCGCTGTAACCGCAGAAAATCCCGCTTCACAAAGATAGGATGTTATAGATAGGTTGAGTCTTAACCTGTGTCAAGAGGCACAGATGCACCGACTGATGTAATTGGGAGAGAATACCGCAATTTTTTATATTTTTCAAAATAAAACATCACTCAGACTCTGATCATCGATAAATTATTCTGTGCGGCCCGGTACTAAATGACCGACAGACGGGTACCGGTCCGCGGCCCGGTGGTTGGGGGCCGCTGCTTTAAGATATCTGAAATTATATTAGGACTAGTAAAAATAACAATTCAAGATAACCATCACCTTTTGGAGAGTTAAAATGACTTTTGAGATATCTTAAATGGCATCGCCTGGTTTATCATTTAAAGTTTCACACTTGTGGATTATAATCAAGATATCTCAAGGTTAGTTTTGACTAGCAAAAACACTATTTATTGATATCTGAATTACGAAATAGGCCCCTAGTGCTGTCACTGAACTGTCCTAACAGGTGCCTGCAGTATGTAGGGCAGATGTTATACTGCTGGCTTTTCTTGAAAAAGTTGTTTCAAAATGCCACAATATAGAAAGAACTCAGCAGTATGGGATGTGCAGAGAACAAGAACTCAAAGGCTGTAAACTCAAAGGCTGCTTCAAAAATATGCCGTGAATTGCTGCAGGGAAGTTCGTTCGAAGCTGGATTATTAAAGCTCCGCTGAGTTAGCTCGACCTGTCTCACAGTTGATCCGATTCAGGAGCTCAGATGCCGGCCAGCCGCTCTCTGTTGCTCCCTCTTCTCACCATATTTGAGAGTGTAGATGGTGTGACGTCTGCTACATGTCCACTGACCAGCATTAGGAATGCAGCTGCTGCTGTAGATACACCACATTACCCAACAAACCTCATCTTTTGCTGAAAACAGTCTACATAAGCTCAATCTTTACTGGGTTTAACTGGCTTATGTTTCAGGAATCTGCTTCAGTGTAACTTCTGTTCTGCCTTTTGCATTTTGTGGAGCCCTCTTGATCACCTTATGCTTTGTTTCCCAGCCAGTTGCCAGGTATGCTAAGGCTAAAGTTAACCAAAAACCTCTTGCTAAGCTAATGTTAACGAAATATGTTTGCTAATGCTAACACAACACCTTTGGATAACCCAATGTTAACCAAACACCTCTTCCTAACCTAATGCTAACCAAATATGTTTGCTAATGCTAACAGAACACCATTGGGTAACATAACGTTAACCACACACCTCTTGTTAACCTAATGCTAGCCAAATGTTTTTGCAAATGCTAACAGAACACCTTTGGGTAACCTAACGTTAAACAAATACCTCTTATTAACCCAATACTAACCAACTGTGATTGCTAATGCTAACAGAACACCTTTGGGTAACCTAATGTTAACCAAACAACTCTTATTAACCCAATGCTAACCAACTGTGATTGCTAATCCTAATAGATCACCTTTAGGTAAACTAATGTTAACCAAGCACATGTTGCTAACCTAGTGCTAACCAAATGTTTTTGCTAATGCTAACCGAACACATTTGGGTAACCATATTTAAACTAAACAGCTCTTGCTAACCAAATACGTTAGCTAATGCCAACAGAACACCTTTGGATAACCTAATGTTAACCAAACACCTCTTATTAACCCAATGCTAACCAAGGGTGTTTGCTAATGCTAACAGAACACCTTTAGGTAACGTAATTGTTAAAGAAAAATGATTATTTTTAGCTTTTAATACAGTTAATCTTATGGCATGTGTAAACACTCTCACTTGAACATATTTCTTAATTTTGAATAAGGCTGTGTTAATGATTTAAAACTACTAATGGGTAAGTATTTAGAGCACCAGGCCATAGAATGAGTATCTCCTGGGGGGTGAATAACAGTTAAGCCTGCAGGAGAGATTTCTGCTTGGTTTACAGAAGGTCAAAAGTCTTCCAGAATAAACAACCAGGGATGGTGTGAAACTGAATCAAGAAAAAGGCCCCCGCATTCCACATCAATTCTGTGGAAGCTTATCTTGTGTTTTATGACCCTAAGAATTCTAGATGCCAGGACAAGCTATCCGCCTTTTCTTGTTAAAACAAAGAAGCAAATGACCCCAGATGTTTGCAGTAAATAAGGGGAAGCTCTAGGCAGTGTCAGAGATGGCGTCTGGTTGGAGGACCGAGGGCCAGCCCTTTTTGAATGGATTAGATACAAGAGGATAAAGCTTTCTAAATAGAAGTTACAGATCAGATTTTGCTCTTGCAAACTCTCCAAAGATGTCTTGTACGTCTTTGCTTTCTTTCCTCCTATGTCAGGTAATGGAATGTATGTCTCTGTTGTTCTGCAGTTTCTGGTGTAGGTTTGTGCATTGTCTTATTTCTAAGTTTATGCATTGTCTTATATTGGATTAAACTCTGTATTTCTGTGACGTTAACACGCAATGTTGGTTTTTATTACCAAGCGCAGCTCGCCGGGTGGACCTGGAGAGGGAAGAATGAGAAGCCAACCTTTTTCCAAAGTTAACTGTTATAATATTTTCTTCCTTAACAATTGGGGGCTCGTGCCGGTTCTGGAGTCTCGGCGGGCGGCTGTTTGGTCCTGATTGATCCGTTTCGGCCCGATGCTTCGGTG